ATGACGTCGTCTTTTCTCTTCCTTCGCGAGGAGGGCTAGTTAGCTCTGGTTAGCTTATGTTATTCTTAAGTTTTTTCTTCTGTTTTATTCCTAAGCTGCTTGTCACAACCATGATGTGTCAACTCCATAACTGACAATTTACAAAACTTTGATGAAATTTTGTGAAATAAAAGCTTAATTTTGGTAAACTGTAAAGATTTCATGGACCTGATGAGCTACAATATGGCCTCCTTCAGAATAACATCATATAAATTGAGGTAGTTTGGCATTTCGTCAACTCCGTCAGATGTCAAGTTTTTGTGACTCTTTCAGTGAAAATGTTGTCAAATCTCACTTAAATGTGCAATTAATTCATTTTAATGTATTTTACATAAATTGCATTACTTCACATCTATCAAGTTTTTCTTTTTATTCACTAGTTTGTCACCACCTTCAGTTCTGTGTCAACTCCGTCAGATGGACTTTTTGTTGTTTTTGGTTTTAAATAATATTTCTTTTGTTTCTTGAGAAGCATTGTCTGTAAAATGAGTAAAAATATCACTAATAGGGTCATTAAAAATTATTTTTTATTAATTTTTGTCAGATGCTGATGACAAAGTTCTGGGTCAGGTCGATTAAAAATGTAATTTTTAAAAAAATGTTGCAACTAGGAGCCTGTACCTTAGCATCTTTACATTTCCTAAACATTATTTGTCATATTTGCATACATAAGGTTGAGAAATAACAAAAAAAAAAAAAAAATGGGAAAATTAAAACCCATTTTGTCCCTATTCTCAAGAATCACTGAATAGACATGCAGATCTAGGTCTGTGGCTCTGCTGAATGCAATATGACAGTGACCATGCGCAAGCAATACTGCGCCTCACGCTGACTAACTGCATCTTAACACCTAAAATAAAATTATTTATGTTGGAGTACATACTGGCTGAAAGAAATGTTTGTTTTTGCAACTCAAGTCAATTTATGCTTCTAAATTACAAGTAGCCCTAAAACATTATTAGTGCTCACCGCACCTGTAGTAAAGAACCTTTTTTTAATAAAGCCCCTCACTGTTTTTAGGAGAACAGCAGTTGCATTGTGGCGATAGGAGTCCGTTTCCCCTCGGGGTCTCCTGGATCCAGAGTGATTTGCTTCAGCTACAAAGACTACACAGAAAATGTCGTCCTTGAAGTGGCAGCAGGAGTTCCTTCCCAACTTAAACTGGTCAGCGAACCAAACCAGGTAAGATATAAGGGGAAAAAAATAGCTAATAGTTTTTTGTTTGTTTGCTTTTAGTGTAGTGAATTTATGTTTCAGAAAGCTTTTGGTACGAGCATGAAAATGCATGATTTGATTATGTAACTTGAAACTTTTTACACTCTGGCCAACTTCAACTAACCATCTAGATTTTATGGTATAGTGTTATTTAAATCAGCTTGCTTAAATCTCAACACAGAATGTGTGTTTGTGACCTTCCAGGCTGTTTTTGTTTTATTCTGTTAAGCCGCTTGTGAAATGGATGAAACCCATCCATTGTCTATACCTGCTTACATCCTGGAGAGGTCACCAGTCTAGCACAGAGCTTCTATCTAATTCAGATCTCAATATAACGTTCAACACTGAATGTTTATCTTTTCAAAATCATGAATATGAATCTGCTTTTATTCTCTGGTTTATAAACAAAACAACATCTAATTATTTGTTTTAGTGAAGTTGTAATGTTGTTTTTAAGACTTCACAATTTTGAAACTCTCCATAATGAGACAGGGAAACTCTTTTCTAAATCCAGTGTTGAAATCCTTCAGACATCCAAACACAGGAGACCACTACAGCTGTTGCATTTGGAGGAAAATGACCTCCATGGCCAACAGAAGCACCGCTGTTCTCTGAGTCCAGATGTCTAAGATGTAGTTACTATTGAAAAGTGGACCTTATATCTTTAGATTTTATTGGTAGTTCATATTTTTTCATGCTGGTCAATGTATATTAATCCTAATCCTAAAAAAGAATATAAGATATCATCCTCCTTGAAAGAGTTGTTAATTTAGAATTTATGGCTCAGATTGAATTAGTAATATCAATAAAATAAGAGAATTGTTTAATTTTTATTAACCAATGAGACTCGTTGGGTTATGAACACTGCAGTCTTCTTAAGTAGCTGAACAGGGTATACCAAAACTTTAACCTGTTAACTGTTTAGATAAGCAGCCTCCACCACGTGATTTTAAACAGAAAATGAGCAGCTGTCACATATAGTTATTTTGTTGTTTTTGTGCTTCTCAGCCCTTGCAGGTTTTGAATGGTCATGATATTCCCACACCATTCCTTCTCCAGCTGTGTGATGATTGGGGAAATCCGTCTCCAGAC